CGATTTGAGGTGAGCTCCAATGGGGTAATTTTCCTCTAGTCCTTTACGTTCCCAGTGGAACATAGGGTTTCAAGTTGGAGGTTAAAATCTATAGGAGCTGTGGTTTTATTTTTCAGGTGTACGGTTGCTAGCGTCACTTCCAAACCTCTCCGTTTACCGGGCTTACCTATCGGCTTAGAGAGGTTTAGGAGTATGTCGACCAGGGATTCAGACCCATACCACGTGAGAAATGGTTGGTGTGCATTCTATCGCTGAATCACTGATGCAAACGGTGTAATTTCGGCACTGTAATTTCCATTAAGAACTAAATGGTCTGTTTCTTCGACTTATTAATCGATTCCAATAAAAACTCTTAAAAGTTAACATCAAAGCGTAAATTAAGCAGCACTTGAATTTAAAGCGGTGTATGCCAAATTCAAGTCCAACTTTATCTATTTCCACTTAAACAAACAAATGGCAGTATAAACCTTTAGAGAAACCATTTGCTTACCACAGTGAAAATAAAATACACAAAAAGAATGAAGCAGGTCGACGACATCACTGATCTTTCTTATACGTACTAGTTGATGTTCGATTAAGCACTCAAAACACTATCAACTTAGCTAGTGTGTATGTGTGTGTGTAAGAAAGGCAGACAGAGAAATAGGGCATATTTACCCTAGATGGAAAGTTGGTTAAAATCAGTTTTAAGCAATCAGCTCGCTATCTAAGTTGGCATAAATTAAACATTTTCGTAATAGAAGTGTTCCAAATGTGCTTCTCTACTCAGTATACTGATAACCACACTTAGCACAAGGAACAACATTTGAACATCTAATAATATTAACATGAAGTCTGCTCTTATATCGTCTAGAGACTTGATACACGCGCCATGAAAAGAATTTCATTGACGGCAGACTTTCATTGACGGCTGCTTTCGCTAGATACTGAAGATCAGATGGCCCGACCAACAAGGATTAGCAACTAGGAACTCTGACAGACAGCAAATCAACCAAGAACTCATCGTCGAACAAATGCGTAGAAATGAAATAAGATAGATTGACCATGGGCTGAGAAGACCACTGAGTGACATCATGCGACAGACGCCCAAGTGGAATCCGAATGAGAAACGGTGACCCTGGGTTCCGAGGATGACATATAAGAGAGATGAAAGTTTGTGGGTATAAACCAATTCGATAGTGTCTAGCATTGGGAAGGGAGACAGTCATCTACTGTTATCTGGATGCATTTCCATCCCAATCAGAAACAATATTCTAACTGAAACTGCCACCTGGCAGTTGTTTTTTTATTTTGTTCTTTTGAGTGCCAAGCGGAACACATAGCTTCAAGCTAGAGCCTAGGAATTTCGGTGGCAGTGGTGTTTGTATTTTACGGGATTGGCGTGCTAGCCTCACGTTCAACCTCCACTCTCTACTCGGCTAACTACAGGCTAAGCGAGGTTTCAGTGTGTCGGAACCCCGGACCACTTATGTGGTTGGCCGGTGTTTTAGGACTGAGCCACCGGCGCCTAAGGCCAGTGTCCGGAGAGGGTCTCGAACTCTTGACCTCTTGCACCATAAGTATGGCGCCCTAACCAACTAAACTACGGGAGCACCACCAAGCGATAATCACTGGAAACACATATCAAACTGAAAAAATCGAGGCAGTATGAAGGCATCTGTTGTATGCGCTTATTGGTGTTGAGTCAACTCAGTTCAGAAATATTAACAGAAAATGGTAACAATAAGATAATTTTCTTTTTTATTACCTGAAAAACCTTTCCAAACTCTCCTTCTCCAAGACTACTGCCTATTTCAAGTTCACTTGATCGAATAATTCGATAGTTAGTACCTCCATCGATAGTTAAACTGCTTAAATCATCTGTTAAACACTTATTAAGATCCTCAGACTTAGAACCTTGTGTAAACAATAGAGTACGTCTTTTTGAATCACCATCTTCAGATGTTGGTGTACTGTCAAGTGAAATTGATAGAACATTTACATTACGCGATGATAATCCATCCAATGTATCTTTAAATCGTGGTGAAGAGCATCGACCACTAGTTGAACGAGCCAATCGCTGAAAAGTAAAAAGGTACAGATAATTTTATAAAAGGTAGAATGTTATTCATAGTTATTAATTAAAATGTCAAACAAATAAAATATTTTAATTGCCAAAAATAAACATTTATTTAGACATTTAGATATGATAGAGAAGATTTGTAGCTCAGGTGGATGATTTTGATGTGCTTGTGTTCTCTGAGCTGTATAGTTAATTTGCGAAGCTTTCATCGCCCTGCTAGGCGACATCTTCAGCCATACTCTTAGGAAACCATCAAGTGACATCACTAGACAAGGCCTTGAGTGGAACCCGAAAGGGGAGCGGTGAGTTGGTCGTCAGTGCAAGGGTGACTTGGAGGAGGTCATGTGAAGAGGAGTTGAAAGCGTGTGTGCTGACTTGGAGCCAGGTGAAAACTCTAGCAGAGAACCGAACTCAATGGGGACGCACGGCTGAAGCCCTATGTTCCTCTAGGAATTAAGGGAAATAATGATAATATAATAATAATGCTGAATGTATTACTGTAAAAGCCTACACAGTTCACAAATCAACTCATAGCACTGAAGTGGAAAAACTTCTATCTGACCTTATTGAACTTAACATGGAGAGTCTTGTGAAGTGAGTCCTGTGTTATTAAATTTCTTATGCAGAAGAGAGGGCAAGGCATTCATAATCTCTTGCTTCATGTGAGATTACAAAGCAGCTTGATGCGCAATATCAATTATACGAATAAACTGAAAAGTAAAGTCTTCTTCACCTTCTAAACAACTTGTACTTATTCCAGCTTAGACAATAAGTTTCCTTCACGTATGAGCCCAATTTATACATATGAAATCGGAATATTGTAACAATAAAATCTTCCCGCAAAATAAAGGCCACTTGAAACACAAGTTCAAAACAATTTTACATATCATGACCATGGTGCTAATGCTCTTTGTCTTATAATGAAAAGCTGATTGTTATGAGTATATGAAAACTGAAATTAATGATGAAATTGAGCTATGAAAACTAACAACTACAAAACCAATTAAGACAATAGCGTCTCAATAAATTGGCAGAATATACCAGTAAAAATTCCATGAAAATTCAAAAACACACGTTTAAATTATGAACTCCCTACCTCACTTAATTCATCCCATCTCGCTGATATCAGTATCAAGAGACGTTTCCTGATATAAGTGCTGCAAATGGAACGCAGTCCAAATAAATTATTCCGCCGATATTATGTGAGTCAGAAAAGTTTCTAATACAAAATTTCACTTAAGGAGCGTATAAGAAACATAACTTGTTACTAAAGCTAACATAGAAACAAACATGGACGCTATAGTTAGCGGTTATATGTATCAACATCACTCATACTTGTTGGAATGAGGAAAAGTTGTTCCAAACTTAGGGAAGACTTTATTTTTCAGTTTATTCGTAAAAATACTACTGCGCATCGATTTGCACTGCAGTTAAACATGGAGCATTTTCATTGAGAATGAATGACTAGCGTTGAATATTCGTCCAACTGTACAGCTCAGTATTGAATTGCTATATTATCTTCGTAGTGATTCGGGATAAAGCTTCTCGAATTTTCTACAAACACGCACTGAGCAACCCGGGTACATCTCTTCAGAGGACTATGTGACTAGACAGACGCATACAGAAATCAGCAAAATTAATGGGTTACCTCTGGAGTTATTAGGCAACTTCAGAACAGAGGAGGAAAACCGTCCGTAACTTAAATTCAATGAATTATCTTCACGGATGTTTCGATATCCTCTTCTCAACGGTGTCGGTCAGAAGGTCATTTTGAAACGATCCGTTCATACATAACCCTTTCTTCAGCACCGAACTGGAACTTTATTTATTAGATTCAGAGCTCATTAGACCTGTTATAAAGCGTGAAGGATATCCATTTTCAACCACATGCCTCCTCAAAGTATCGATGCCCTTATCCAAAGAATCAGATTTGCATGCTCTTCAGATACCAACCGCTGTAGATATTAATACTGAATCCAATTGACAATGTTCCATTAGGCCTACATGTCAGCCGAAGATGCACAGAAGAAATTGCTTGTCTGGTTTTGTCTTCAGTATACAATTCGGTAGCTGGATGGTAACTACTGAAAACCTGTAAGACACCATATAGGTAATATTTATTGACACCAATGGTGTAACTGTTGTTAACATAATTTTTATGGGGGAAAAACTGTTGACCGTTGGTTTCAAAATATCGGATTCCAAACTCGCCACATGAAGGTAACCCATCTGTGACGCCAGCTTGCTGCCCGAAAATTAAGCCACTGAACGTGAAATAGGCCTTGGAAGTACATAGAAGTTATTGTGACCAAGGATTCTGCCTTCATGCATTCAAGCTGCCATCTTAAAGGTGTTTGTACGGAGTACCAATCGTGTCTGAAATAAAAATGCTTATAAATAATGCCTCGACACCGATAAATATCTTGCATTTGCTACCTACATTTCTTGGTGAGCATAACTTGAAATTCGTCTACTCACTGGTTGTAGAATACCGCTAAAAGACGTCGCATCTGCGAACTAAACATGTGCAAGAAGACTGACGATTTTATGACTTAGATCTCGGTGTTTCATTTCGAAAAAGAAAACTTCTAATTATTATGGGCACAAGTATGACCAAAAAATATTTTGCTAGGAAACCAGATTGACTTTGCCTACTTCCACCAACATCATTTCAGATATATGATAACTTTTTAGTTAGTAACCGGAGTGTCAGTAAATTGTATTTGCTCCCACATTGAAGGGATGATGTTGTATTACGGCTCACGAATTGACGTCATAAATTAATATGTGAAGTCCTCTAACAAAGAAGGGTGTTTAAGAGCATTCTGGTAATTCTTTCAACTCAGGATATAAATTGAGCATTGCAGGAAACCAGGAGTATTGTTACATATCTGTAAACATGATACCATTACTTTGAATCTGGATGGAGACTGTACATTGATCAATTATGTCGTTCTACTTCAAAAACGTTGTTTTGAAGGTCTGCACTCCGCGCTATATTTGCATTGATTTCCATTGCTTTCATATTTTCGTTATGTTTTGAAGATTGGTTTCTTTTCGTGTTTTGAATGTGAGGTTTTAGGTAAGACAATTTCCGTTTTTCCCCCACATTTTGTTTACCGTCATGGTGTCTGAGGATTTAAATAATTCATGTTGCTTATGGATGCATAACTTACGAAGTAATCAAGTAGATGTCGATTGACTTTGATGGAGATCTGTAGAAATTAAACATTTTAGGGAGAAAATTTTGTTTTTTTGTTAGAATTCGGTCCTAGGTACTATTAAATAAGCCTTAGTGCAAAGTGTAGAGTTTCACTGAAAGTTGACGTCAACTGCGAACAACATTTCTGCAAGCCATCAAATAGTAATCCCTATATCTTAGGAACTTTGGTTAGACATTTTAGATTCTGTAGGCATTTATTCCGCTAGTGGATTTAATACAATTGGCAGTCTAAAGGAATGGAATATAGTGAAGTCGTGAATTTTGGTATGACTTGTCTGGTGTTTACCCTACAGCCGTGCTTATTTACAATAGCATATAAGGTTCACATTGAGCTGATAAAGGATAGTAGGCTATTGTGATCATATATATATATATATATATATATATATATATAGGGGTCCAATTCCTCTTTGAAAGCGCCATCTCCATCTTGATGTTAATCCATATGAACATAATGACAACAGATATGAATCAATGAGGAGTGACTATTTATCAACGTATTTATGGAGAAGTGAACAGTACTTATTGAAGTGCATCATGACATAAAATTGATGTGGCATAGGAGAAATAATAGATGTTAACAACTAGAATCTAAAATATATACATCTTGAAAATGTCTATGTTGCCCTGGTTAAATTTATTTTGAAGACGTTCTCCAGGTTAAAGTTCTGTTCCGATCTGGAATATAGTAAATATGCAAGTCGGTACAGGAAAACAAAATTTTCTTCATGTGATACGACCGTTAGCTGTTTGGCCTGAGACAATAGATGTTTTCATTTCGTTTTTCAATGTTTTTGCATTTTAAGGGTTTGTTTCATGACATTGCCCTTAATAAACTAAAATTTACTCTGGGTTATTCTATGTTCGACATTGATTGTCAACATGCTTCTGTAAAGAAGAAACCTACTCTGTCCAAAAATAGCTCTTTAAATTCGCGTCGCACAAGAGAAAGTTATAGTTGTGAACAGCAAGTGTAATGAAATTTGGGAGAAGCAGAATTGCAGTAATTATCTCTGCCACAATGAAGCAGTCAAAGTTATCCAATACATGTACATAGCTAACTGTAGGTTAAAAATACTTTGCTTATGGTAGTAAGATAATTCTGTATTAAAAGTATTCAATTAATTCAACATAATGAGCTATCATTATTCAAGGCTTGATGTTTTTTTGTACATGCCTATATCTATATGGTCACATTATTCTCAAAAGTTGGCCTTCATTTTATCCTTATTCATTGTGTTTAAGTTTTATTGCTAACAGTTTCTAATGACAAATATTGTATGTATCATGTTTATTGAGTAGACGAAGACTCCATCTGTCTTTATCTCTTTACCCGAATATCTGGAAAATTCTTTTACCCATGAAGTGAGGTAATCAGAAATAAATGAACTGTAAAAGCTAAGCGTTGTCTAAGGTGGTATGATTGTACTGTGACAACTATGTAAACATCGTGCAGTAAATAAATCCATATCAGTTTGTTTTGTGAGGAAAATACGTTGCTAGACTGTATAGTCCTCATCGGCTAATCGACTGAAAGTGAATATAAATACTTTAGTAGTAGTTCCTCGAATTTTCGGTTTGTAGGGTCGAAACAGTATGGATGTCATGCTATCAATTAATTTGAAGTTAGTGTGAATTTATGGAAAAGTAGTGACTGTTTGAAATGAAAAGAACCTTTAGGTCACTATATATGCTGGCTATTTGTTGTTCACCAATTTCGGATGATGACAGTATGATCAAAATTGTTTGTGGAATAAGACGTGTATCCCACTGATGGGAAACTTTCAGTAAGATTTACTTCATACCTCGATATGGAACTTGAGAATGTTGATAAGTTCTTCTTCTGTTGAATGGAAGGTTGTGTTGTCGGGTTGATGTGTACACTTCCACTTTTTAGAATTGAGCAGAATGAATGGATAGATTTTTTCATCTCTGGTATTTGGCTACCGATGTATTAATACCGACATATTGGACTTGCTTAGCATTGTCCAGTGCATGTAATCGTATCTGATAATCCATCAAACAGCAAGTACACTAAATGTCATCTTTCTCCGATATATTCTATGACGGTTAATTATCATCGAGTGCGGAAAACTTAGACGTGTCCTTGTCATGAAGTCATCGGGTAGACAATTTTGAAATGAGACTAGAAGTCCTAGTTGACATAAGCCAGTCAACAATATTGAGTTCATGTTGACTGCCAGTAACTGGAACATGTATGTCGGCTCATTGTTGGAAATGAAACACGTTATTGAATAAACCAAGATTAAGCTGGAAGAGAGCCAAGGACAGCCAAACAAGATACAAAACTAATCAAAAAACCTTGTGATTCTTAATATGAGCTATGCCAAGAAGTATAAACTCCTCGACTAGTAACTTTAAAATGTTAAAGACGAATAAATGGAGAAATCTCGAGATACTGCTTTAATTCATTTAAGGTAGCAATGTATTCATCCTATATACTCCTCGAAATTTTAGACAGTTTAAATTTTTTCCCTCCTGAGTTCATTCCTTTTTTGATTCTTTGGACAGCTTTTTTTGGTGGGTTGTGGGGGGAGGAGACGGTATAGCATAGTATAGTATATTGAATTGATTTTTGTTTCTCAACGTTTTAATTGGTCCCAATTATTCTGTGCTCAATATTGATAATGACTCACTGTGTTTATCTCCATCGTTATGCATGTTTAATTCAACAGTATCGTTTCATCTTATATCATTCTCTATTTTCGTAGGCTTTCTTTCCTTGTTTTAATCAGAATTCCCAAATAAACTTTTTGTCGAACAGATTACTATTTAAACAATTAATAAGGTTCAAAGTAATTATTTGTTGATATTTACAATTATGTTATGGTGAATTTAAAATCCTCTTCAATAGATGTCTGAATTACATTGATCGGACATAAGGGAATAACCAATATTGTGTTACATACTAGTCCTCTATGTTAGTGTTAACTGAATTACAATGTGGTCCCCAAGCTAGGTGACTGGTCGTTACGGAGCACATTGAAACGGTGCTAGGTGTTTGAAGACAATCAGTTTTCTCAATGGTATCATTGCCACTCAATGACTAATATTTCCATACTTCCGTACCGTTAATATACATATTTTACAGCCATGCAAAATAAATAAGACGTGACTTAACAACCTTCAGATTCATTAAACTGGGCTTTTAACTTATTATTATTAGCACGTTATGATATGCAGCTGTAAAAACAGAAAACCTTTGGTCCACCCAACTACTTTCAGTATTGAAATTACTTTTTGATTGGAAAATTTTATTTCCCGATACAAATTTGATACGAATTCAAGACTTTTCAACTAGAGGCAGTGTTTAACCACTTATCAAGAATTAGACCTTCATTGAATGATGTGACGTTGAGCTCAGGTTAGGTGAATCAATAAATCCATGAATAATCCCCATCCAGACGTTGATGAAACTAAAACACGGAGTTCAACCAAGAGACTCTTCTCGGCGAATTCATTTTCTTTTACTATATAACCGAATTTATATTACACTTTTTTCCATGAAGAGGGTATATAAACTCTACTGCACAGCTAAAGAAATTGAGTTCTCTGAGAAGAGCCTCTTTACTGAACTACATGTTTTGAATCAACAGAGGTCATCCAAAGACACTTAAAGTCATCCTGGAGCTCATTTTCATTTCACCACCATTCATGGCATAATTAAATCAACAAATGATTTAAAAAAACCTTTCTGCTGCATTTGTAAGTGTTGAATGAATTCAAAAAATGGCTCCTTAAACACCTGCCGGCTGACAGTTATTCATCGGGCACACAAAGTAATCTAGTTTATTCATCTACTAACCTGTTTTTATTTCTTATTTTTGTATTTTATTAGTGTGGTAAATATATTCTTCAATTTCTCTGGGCATGCTGACTGCCTCTTTGGTACCAACTTCTAACGTCCCTTTAATTAGTGAAAACGGACATCTACGTTCACGATCAACGTCTCAGCATTTTCAAGGAGATCGTACTAGAAGTGGTTGTCGACAACCTGGAATATCGACTCCAAGTGTAGATACGTTATCCGACTCATTAAGTCTTGCAACAACCGCGACTGAGGGAACAATTGGAGAAGTCTGGGAACGAAAACAATACCCCGACATGCCCTTAGGATGTGCTATAATAAAAAATCAGCCACCTTCCTTTTTAAATCTCTCTAACCGTGTTCAAGAACAGTCTTCAGAAAAAGACCTGTATGAGTTTTTAAAAGACGCTGAATTAGAACATTACTACACTGTTCTCACACGTCATTTAAAGGTTAGTACATATTATTATGAGAGAGTATAAAGAAGTTTTTAAGATAATATGATTCCTCAATGGTATATTCATTAAATTATAGGTGTTTTGGTAATTTCACTCGCTATAAACCCATAGTTTATTTACACCGTCACATGTTTTAAAAGTCTAGGTCGTTTTCCCTCACTGTTTTCAACATCATGTTCTTGTTTTAGTTAGTTTTATTCACAGTTAAAAATGCAACCTTCTTGACTTAGATACTTAATTTTCCAGCAGCAGAATGGAGGCTAGAACCCCCTACCACTTGTGTTGAGTGGGACGTTTGTTGAATTACTAAGGTGTATTTGTACACCAAACACCTTGATGTTCAAGTGTGATCACGGATCGATATCAGCTAGAGTACCATTGAAAACTGGGGTTACAGGACAGGTGTTCCGTCTTAGTTTGAGACTCATCGCCAGTACGCACCTACTGGGTTTCAAACCCAGGACCTGGTTACAAGGCAATCTCGTAAGCCACTCATCCCCTAGGAGCCAACTCAATGGCCAATCCCTGAATTCTAACTTCTACCAATTCGTGATTTTAGCACGAGTGGCACCAGCCAGTGTCACCGGCGGCGAATATTTGTCCTCACTACCGATGGTCAAACTTGAAACAAATCAAATCCATACAAACAAACTCTTGAAAACCTTTATGTTCATTTTGCACTTCGTATTTATTTAGGATGAATAGTGACAGTTTTTATTTTAAAAATCATTTCTTATTTAGGATGAGTTTAAATTTTGAACTGGTCATTTACATTTGCTAGACCTATTTGACTCATCCAGTTTAAGGTGGGGGTAATTATCTGAATAACTTTGATTACAACCGGTATAAAGATAAGTAGAGAGCACATGTCAAGTGATCCACAACGGAAAACTCAGTGAGGCGTTTGAAATAAACACAGGAGTTAGACAAGGGTGCTTATTATCTCCAATGATATTCCTAATTGTGGTGGACTCGATTATGCGTCAGACAGTGAGAAAAGAGAAGACAGGGATATCCTGGACCGAAGTGAAGAATCTAGAAGACCTGGATTTCGCGGATGATTTATGTTTGATGTCACACAAAATCGAAGACTTACAAGCGAAAACCGACAAACTGGTCGAAGAAGCATCAAAGACAGGACTCCAGGTGGACATAGACAAGATGGAGGCTATGAAAATAACCAACCACCAACAACAGCAGCATCCAGCGCCAATCACTATCAACGGGAGGGATTTGAAAGAGGTTACTTCATTCACCTATCTAGGGAGCATTGTCTCAACTACAGGAGGAACGGACAAAGATGTCAAATCGAGAATCGGAAAGGCAAGAAACACATCTATCAAACTGAAACCAATCTGGAAATCTTCGTCACTCAGCATCAACAACAAAATTCGGATTTTCAATACAAACGTCAAGTCAGTCAGTTCTTCTATACGGATCAGAAACGGCGGGTCACAAAGAATGAGTATTTCCAACAGCCTGTTGCAGACCTTTATCAACAGCTGTCTTCGTTCTATACTGAAGATCAGATGGCCGGAAAGAATCACCAACAAGAAACTATGGGAACAAACAAAGCAAGAACCAATCGCTCAACAAATATGCAGGAGAAAGTGGAGATGGATTGGACACTCACTCGCTGAGAAGGCCGCTGGGTGACATCGCGCGTCAGGCCAACGCTCGAGTGGAACCCGAAAGGGAAACAACGAGTGGGACGTCGAAGGGTGACATGGAGGAGATCATGTGAAGAGGAGTTGAAACAATATGGAATAACATGGATGCAAGTGAAAAGCACAGCAGAAGACAGAAGTAAGTGGTGACGTGCATTTGAAGCCCTATGTTCCACTAGGAACCCAAGGGAACAATAATAATATATATATAGAGAGAGAGACTGTTTCATAAGGCGTTGATAAACCATGAGCACTTTACATATACTCAATTCCACTAAGCAATTAGATCGGTATACTTTTCATCAAACCAAACTTCAGATTATTCCTGGCTTTAGTAATATTACCAATACTTTCCTTTTCATAGACACTCAGGTTTCAAAGAAGTATTACATAGGATATGAATCAAATAAGTGTAGTACCTGATTGAGATGCTACATAAAAGAATGAGAGTCTAGTGCAAGACTGTATAATTTGCTATATATGCAGTGGCTTTTGCTAGATTTTAATACCACATTGCAGCATTCCTAAGCTGAGATTTAGGTAAGAAAAGAGAAATTCGTTGGTTCAAGCACTCGAATTTTATCCAATGGGTCCCGGGTTCTAGTCCCCCTCCACTTATCTTAGCCTAAACAAATAGGTAGTATCACCAACCCTCCCACACTAAGTGTGGCTCATAGTCCCGTAAGTGGGAAATCTGTTCCAGATAACTGAGTACAAAACAAAATATAACCCTTATGCCTTAATATGGCTCACTGGTTTAGATCGGTCCTTGATTCAAACTTGTCATTCATCTAATTCAGCCTGGGCAACCAACTAGTATCATCAGTCGCAACACAATAAGTTTGATTTACGGCACAATGCATGATTAGTCTGTTCTAGGTGAGAGACTTAGCTGTGGCAGTAATAGCATGTGCCTGCAATCGTGATATTGATGCATATCATTAAGAGATTACTTCCTTCACTTATCTAAGCAGCATTGTTTCAACTAAAGGCACGCCACACGGATAAGAATGTCAAAGGCAAGATCAGAAAGTCAAGACAGACCTTCATCACGCTTAAACCAGTTTAGAAATATTCTTTACTCAACATAAAGAACGAAATTCGGATTTTCAACACCCATGTCAAGCCAGTTCTTCTTCATGGATCATAAACTTAACACGTCATGAAGAGCTTTTCTAATAGGCTTCAGACTTTTATCAACAGCTGTCCTCGCTGGTTCCACACTGAAAATCAAATGGCCAGAAAGAATTAGTAACAAGAAACTCTGGAAACGAACCAATCAAGAACCTATTGCTCAATAAATATGCAGAAGAAAATGGAGGTGGATCGCACACATGCTGAAGAGGCCACTGAGTAGTGTGGCGCTCTAGACCATAAATCGAGCGTGAAATAGCGAGTTGGGTGTAGCCCCGAAGGTGACATGGGGAAGATCGTGTGAGGAGGAGATGAGAGACTATGGACAACCGTGGAGCCACCTGAAAATGACTGTGGAGAACAGGATAAAATGGAGATGTGCTGCTGAAGTCCTGTGTTTCACTTGGAACCCAAGGGAATAACAATAGAAAAGTCACTAGGATTTTATGTTCTATTTTCACATAAAGTGTTAGAAATTTAAAACGTTCTAGCTATCATCGATATTTTTAAAAATGATAAATATAGTTTTCATCGCAAAATGTTCACAGGCGCCAGTTATTCGCATCTGTAGCTCATTGGTCTAGGTACTCAAATTTCAATCAGAGAGTGATGGGTTCGAAACCTGCCTCACACACCGAGGTTTGGGCAGCCTTGGGTTGTATAATCACCCTTCACACGATAGGTGTGGCTCATTGCTAGTAGTTGTTGACTAACATTGACTGACTGATTATGCAGCACTCTAATAACACAGTTTCATTTTCCACAAATACGGATAATTTCCAGGTCATAGATCATTTTAGTGGATTTTTAACTTATTAATATAGGCACTGGACTTTTAGCAGGTGGATCACAGGTTTAAGCCCTTTTCTACCTACGTATATTTTAACCACCAGTTGGAGGCCAAATGTGGCTTAAAGTACCTTGAGTACCAACCATATTGTATCTCAATCTTTTTCAAATGGAATGATTTTTTCGTTCTGTTATCAACAGTAATAATAATAATAATCCTATTCTATGATTTATCAATATGATTTTTGTTGTATTATAATTATATTTTGTTTTAACAATGATCACTGTGTTACTTTTTAGATTCGATCAGTTCAACAAATCAAATATGTTGAAGACTCTGATCTTGCAGAAATGGGGTTTAGTCGACCAGAACAAAGACGCTTACGTAAGCATTTCAAGCGTGAGTGCCCACAAACAGCAATGGGAAAACTACGAAAGGTTAGTTGCATTAGGAATTACTATGCAGTATATATACTCAGTGTAACATACATTCATCTCGAAGCTTATTAAAAAGATTTAAGCTAATTAATATGTGAAGGCCTTTACGGCATATTAGGAGGCATGGATGAGGTGTATTCTTTCCGTTGTATTATAGCTTGGCTTTGGATTTGTTGATATAAGTGTAACGGCAGAATAAAAGAGAATTGGTAACAGACTTCCTTATCACGGTAAAACACATCATTTATGCAACTTTAACCATACTAAAAGTCTGTTAGATCAGCTGATGATAAATTCTCCTGATTGGCTGTCAATCGACTCAAGGTTAAACAATGACACGAAAAGTTGTCCAATGAGATTATTTCATGTCCACAATGTGAATTAGGTTCAGGTTTGAGGAATAAACACTTCTACCTCTCTGGCCACTGCATGAAAATGTTGATTTCAATTTTGGCCGCTTCCTATCAATCTGCATCTATGTACTACTAATGAATCTTGTCAGTAACACATGCCACATTACTACTTCGCAAGCCTAATTTACCTTAGGAAAGTGTTTTCATGATGATCGTGGTATCCTTCTCAGAGTGGTTTTACGGTATTTTTGAATATGTCTAAATGAATGTTTATTTTTGGCAATTAAAATATTTTATTTGTTTGACATTTTAATTAATAACTATGAATAACATTCTACCTTTTATAAAATTATCTGTACCTTTTTACTTTTCAGCGATTGGCTCGTTCAACTAGTGGTCGATGCTCTTCACCACGATTTAAAGATACATTGGATGGATTATCATCGCGTAATGTAAATGTTCTATCAATTTCACTTGACAGTACACCAACATCTGAAGATGGTGATTCAAAAAGACGTACTCTATTGTTTACACAAGGTTCTAAGTCTGAGGATCTTAATAAGTGTTTAACAGATGATTTAAGCAGTTTAACTATCGATGGAGGTACTAACTATCGAATTATTCGATCAAGTGAACTTGAAATAGGCAGTAGTCTTGGAGAAGGAGAGTTTGGAAAGGTTTTTCAGGTAATAAAAAAGAAAATTATCTTATTGTTACCATTTTCTGTTAATATTTCTGAACTGAGTTGACTCAACACCAATAAGCGCATACAACAGATGCCTTCATACTGCCTCGATTTTTTCAGTTTGATATGTGTTTCCAGTGATTATCGCTTGGTGGTGCTCCCGTAGTTTAGTTGGTTAGGGCGCCATACTTATGGTGCAAGAGGTCAAGAGTTCGAGACCCTCTCCGGACACTGGCCTTAGGCGCCGGTGGCTCAGTCCTAAAACACCGGCCAACCACATAAGTGGTCCGGGGTTCCGACACACTGAAACCTCGCTTAGCCTGTAGTTAGCCGAGTAGAGAGTGGAGGTTGAACGTGAGGCTAGCACGCCAATCCCGTAAAATACAAACACCACTGCCACCGAAATTCCTAGGCTCTAGCTTGAAGCTATGTGTTCCGCTTGGCACTCAAAAGAACAAAATAAAAAAACAACTGCCAGGTGGCAGTTTCAGTTAGAATATTGTTTCTGATTGGGATGGAAATGCATCCAGATAACAGTAGATGACTGTCTCCCTTCCCAATGCTAGACACTATCGAATTGGTTTATACCCACAAACTTTCATCTCTCTTATATGTCATCCTCGGAACCCAGGGTCACCGTTTCTCATTCGGATTCCACTTGGGCGTCTGTCGCATGATTTCACTCAACGGTCTTCTCAGCCCATGGTCAATCTACCTTCATTCATCTCTACACATTTGTTCGACGATGAGTTCTTGGTTGATTTGCTGTCTGTCAGAGTTCCTAGTTGCTAATCCTTGTTGGTCTGGCAATCTCATCTTCAGTATCTAGCGAAAGCAGCCGCCTGCTGGAAATTCTTTTCATGGCGCGTATATCAAATCTCTAGACGATATAGGAGCAGACTTCATGTTAATATTATTCGATGTTGTTGCCAGTATACTGAGTAGAAAAGCACACTTGGAACTCTTCTATTACGAAAATGCTTAATTTATATCAACTTAGGTAGCGAGATGATTGCTGAAAACTGATTTTAACCAACTTTCCATCTAGGGTAGATATGTGCTATTCCTCTGTGTCTCTCTCTCTCTCACACACACACACATACGTGCATACAAATACACTGCATAAGTGCGTTAGCTAAGTTGGTAGGGGTTTTCAGTGCTTAGTCGAACATCAACTAATACGTATAAGAAAGATCAGTGATGTCGTCGACCTGCTTCATTCTTTTTGTGTATTTTATTTTCACTGTGGTAAGCAAATGGTTTCTCTAAAAGTCTATACTGCCATTTGTTTGTTTAAGTGGAAATAGATAAAGTTGGACTTGAATTTGGCATACACCGCTTTAAATTCAAGTGCTGCTTAATTTACGCTTTGATGTTAACTTTTAAGAGTTTTTATTGGAATCGATTAATAAGTCGAAGAAACAGACCATTAAGTTCTTAATGGAAATTACAGTGCCTAAATTACACCGTTTGCATCAGTGATTCAGCGATAGAATGCACACCAACCATTTCTCACGTGGTATGGGTCTGAATCCCTGGTCGACACACTCCTAAACCTCTCTAAGCCGATAGGTAAGCCCGGTAAACGGAGAGGTTTGGAAGTGACGCTAGCAACCGTACACCTTAAAAATAAAACCACAGCTCCTATAGATTTTAACCTCCAACTTGAAACCCTATGTTCCACTGGGAACGTAAAGGAATAGAGGAAAATTACCCCATTGAAGCTCACCTCAAATCGACTTAGACTAGCTGTTGATTTCTTATTCTCAATCATAATTCTATTTACAGGTTTGTATTCTTCTACAATTCCTTCATATGGTTCTACCTGAATATATGTTGATTGATTCTCTTTAAGTAATCTGTTTTATCCAAGTTGTTCTTAACAGATTCAGCATTTAATTTACGTCTTTGTTTTCAACGAGTTTTACCGGTCTAGATACATTTCGCCTGGCTTTCTGTTTGTGTTTCAGTGCTCGTGCATATTGTACTCGGATTTGATCAGTAGTTTTAGTGTTACTTCTGTTTACTGGGGACACTCCCTCACAAATTATGCAAGCTTATGGTACTAACTGCTTCTATCGGTAAAGATATGTAGATCACTTAGTCGAAGAAATGCTACCACAATATGATTTTTAAAGAATTTAATAACAATAATAGCTTTATTATGCACAATAAGTTTACACGGTATGCAAAATTTTCAGCCTAGTTTATTGCATAATATTTTCTCTTCATCCAGGAGTTTCAAGTAAAACAGCCATCTCCAGTACATCATGTGACGACGGAGTGGTGTTAGATCTGAAGAATAAAATAATCCTTTATGGCATTCTTCTTCTGTCCCCCACCCCAGTAGGTTGCAAGCCAATTAAAAATGTGTATGAGTACATTAGGTGACCCACGGACATAACTGAATGACCATAAAAACGAAAACTAAAGAAAATAAGATGCATTGTCTCGGGTGGAAATCCAGGTAGCCCAGTGATTCTGTTGTTAATAAGTAATCTTTCGTAGGTTAACATTGAAAAAAAAAGATTCTTGAAAGAAACCTTGCTATTTAGCTACTGAAGACGTGAACTACTGTTTGCTTTAGGTATTGACTTTCAGTCAGTGCGCGTCCTGGGCTCGAACCCATCCTCCCCTTTGCTTCACTTTGTCCAACGTAGTAGTATCATCTGTCATCATACAATAAGTGCGGCTCATGCATATTCTGGTTCATGAGACGCCTATCCTAGGAGTAACTGACTTTTAAATCAGAAGTAATTTTGCTTTAGTTGTTCTGTTCTTTTTATATTCTCTATTAAAGGTTGATTCATGTTAAAAGTTGGTAACTTGTGTTTATTTTGTCAGTTGATTTTGCATTTCTATGCATTTTTATACTTAGAATAATCAAGAGACACTAAGCTGTCTGTCTATGTTTGTCTTTCCTCATGTTAACCCTGGTTATCAGCTAAACAAAGTTATGTGTGTAGTGAAACAACCTACATATAAAATAAATGTCTCGTCCAAGCAATATTTTTACTGTGTAAATAGCCTGAATAACAGACAAATTTTCATAAGTTATAGAATACACTTTTGTCTCTTGGTTACTATCAGTAGTTATAATGATGACAGTAGCAGTAATAGAAATAGCAGTGTAACAGTAGAAGACCAGAGACTTGGTAACGGAATGTTTATTTTGGATTTGCTGTACATATATATTGGGAAATTATTATGTATACCGTGTATTAAATTCATTGGCACAGATCTTCCGTGTTGTGCTATTTCTGCCCCCCGTATTGTATTTCTTTGTCTTCTTTTCGTGTCTCCCACATTTTCCTACAATACTGGTTCATTTCCTCGCTTTAATGTCAAATCTACCTCTCCACTATTTGACATTTTTGTGCCTATGAACGCCTCTCTACATACTATTGATAAATCCTGTCAGTTGCATACGCCACAGTAGTAACTTAATTCCTACGGTTTTTCTTAAATGCAATCTAACGAGGGAGCTGATTACCGCTAAAATTTCTACTGTTAAAAAAGGACACATTACTTGCTCAGTTTCAATGACAGCATCTAAAAGCTAAAATTATATTATTATTACTACTCATCTGGGTTCCCAGGGATACATAAGGCTTCCGCAGCACACCTCCATTTTATTCTGTTCTTTTCTCAGCCTTTTTTAACTGGCTCACCGATTGCCCATTGGCTTTGATTTCCGCCTTACACAATCTCCTCCATGTCACCCTCGGAACCTACGTCCAACTTGTCCTTTCTCATTCGAGTTCCATCTACGTAGGCTTGGTGTGTGATGCCATTCAACAGTCTCCTTAGCTTATGTTGAATCCATCTCCCCTTTTTTCTGCATATTCGTTGGACGATAGTTTTTTGGTTGATTCACTGCCTGCCATGGTTCCTTTTCGCTACTCCATTGTGGCCAGCGAATGCGTCCGTCAGTGAACGTTTGCAGCCGTCTGTTGAAAATGCTTTTCATGGCGTGTGCTCTGAGTCTCTGAGTCATATAGGAGCAGTCTTGAAATCAGTATATGAAATCCCAGTCTTGTTCGTTGTGCTGAGTGCAGCAGATTTCCACACTGATTTCAGAGTAATGAATACCTGTCTCGCTTTTCCGATCCTGGTTTTGACATTCTCATCGCTCAAATGAGCGAAAGAAGTGACCTCGTTCTAATTGCTTCCGTTGATAGTGATTAGTGCTTGTTGTTGTTGCTGTTGTTGTTGCCGGTCATCGTGTATCTGCATCACCTCTGTCTTCTGTATGTTAACTTGAAGTCCTGTCTTCGATGCTACTTCTACCAACTTGTCAGATTTTGCCTGCCTGTGTGACACTAGACATAAATCGTCCACGAAGTCCGGATCTTTTAGAGTTTAACTTTTCGGTCCGGCATATGCCCGTCTTCTTGCTCCCCATGGTCTATTGCATGATCCAGCCCACCATTGTTGGGAATACCATCGGTGATGGTAGTCAGTCTTATCTTGTTTGTGACTTCACTTCAGAGGCTTCACTGAACTTTCCAGTGCGAAATGCTGGGCCTGTAGCATTATTGTATGGCTGCTGAAAAGGCAGTCTGTAGAGGTGAAGTAGTTTCGAAATTAATTTACGACCGACAGTGTCTATGAAGTTAAGGCAGAGTGTAGTCTGACATTCTATGCCCTGCCTGGTGATTGCAATTTGGTCCTCGCAAGATCTGCTTTTTCTGAGTCCAACCTGTTCCAGATTCAGTTTCTGCACACAGAGCATCTTTTAGTCACTCCCGGATGATGTGGCTTAGTATTTCTCTCAGGGTGAACAGGAGCGTGATCCCGCTCCAGGCTTGGCAATGGCCTAAGTCACCCTTCGCTAACAAGGTAGCACTTCCAAACCTTTTACAACAGTGGCGTAAGGTTATCTGCTTAGCTCTGTGAGACCGTTTTCAGTGCTCCTTGTCCTGCTGCTTACCTGGCTGCCTTTCAGTAACTTTATGGCTTCTGCCTTTATCGGAGGATTGGTGTTTACTAGCAGTTCTG